TAAAATGTAAGAAAACTATGTAAAATAGATGTTTTAATTATGTGATAGTAAATCATATACATATATATATATATATATATATGTGTGATATATCATATGCAATATGTGATTTTGTTATAAAACTTTAGTTATATATTTTGCTTTACAGAAATGAATTTTGGATCCCAATTAATAATTTTACTCATAATAATTTTTTCAGAATAATTTTATTTTATTTTTTTCTTAATTATATGGTTATTTGGAATTAAGATTGACATAAATGTTTTAGTTAAAAATATAAATGAAAAGAATTAATTTAAAATAAAGAATGACACATGTCATCAACAGAGAGCGCCAAATGTCTTAACGTGGTGAAAAATTAGAAAAAACCTTGTTATATTATATAAGATATAATTAATATTCAAAGACATATTATTTGGCATTAAAAATAATTCAACTATATCAACTATAAACATAAGAGAATATGGTGTTTGCCGAAAACATAACATGCTAAATCTTATGAAACTGATTGAAAATATGTCACGATCATCAACTGCTAACAAATCCATTTCTAAATTACGAAATTCAACGCATTTGAAGAGAAACTTGAGAGTGTTTTACAAATACTATTGATTATTGTTATTCCAACAATCAACTATATACATGTGTACATGTAATATCCTTAACTAAGATATATATCTTACCTAAATTATCATTAATGATTTAATTAATTTTGATCTATTATTACTAAGAAACAACCTAAGATACAAGCATTGGACATGCTCTTAGAAACAGAAACTGAGATTTTAATGTTTATAGGGGTGATGGTGAAGGAAACCATGGGGAAGAAATTGTGTTTTGAAGTACTACCAAATACATTTGGGGTATCTTTGAGTTCATTAACATGTGTCCGTCAATGGTGTGCCATTCAATGTAAGAGGAGAGACCCCAGCGGGATAGGTACTTGCAAGCCAAGGCCCAATCAAGGGAAAGTACAACTTTGGAAACTGAAACAAGAATGCCACTGCGTCTATAAATGCTCATAAAACCATGAGAGGGATATCGAAACCATCACAATGTTTTTTTTTCTTTCTCAAGAATCGTAATACTTGTTATATATACAATACTTAGTAGGTACATGACATATTCATTTCTGTCGAAGTTTTGTAAGTTTTTGTTAGTGTATTGTTACATGAGTTTAAATTTGTATATTGTATGCTTTTAAATAAAAAGTCAATAATGCTTTCATTTGCAAATTCAAAAGTTTGACCGCCAAATTTTTTGACAGATTCGATCCGAACTTTCGTTGGAACAACATATTTTCGTCGGCAAATCATCAGAATTTCCGATAAATTAATTGTTTCTCGAATACTTAGTGACCTTCAGGATTTCTAATAGATCATCATTTGTTGGATATTCAATAGAAAACCACATTGTTAATTTTCTTTCCGTGCTTGTTTGGGTTGTGCGGAGATGATAGTTGAATATTATGAAGGTGAACTTGGGAAGAGTCACCAAATGTAACCACTGACGGAGATTTGAACACCAACCTGAAGCCCATCTAAGGAAAGTGTCAGAGCGAGACAACAAAGGTGAGGAGAATTAATCTGACATTATGTAAAAGATTCGTACCACCGAACAAGTCCTTGTCAAAGTGAAAGGTTTGTTTTAAGAAAGTATAAATCACAGAACACATCTTTAAAGAGTTTTATTGTATTCGACGTTGAAAACGTCGTATCTTTAATACCTTGATTGAATATAATCACCAATTAACGAGTTTTATTTTGTTTAACATAATGGTATAGATAACAGAAATAATTGTGTGATTCTAAATTTTACACATACTACTACTCCATTAGATAAGCGAAACATAAATAAATTAGTAATAACATATTTATAGAATCAATGGAGAACCATGTCTTTATGACGAAAATCTAATGAGGTGTAAGAGTTACCATGTACTAAAAATAGACTTATGAAACTTTGGTTATAAGTACTCGTAAACTTTCTTCTTTTTTCTAAACAAGTTTTAAAAGATCATCAATTCATTCGTATAGCATCATGAGAATGAGTAAACCGAATCAATACTCGGTCACCTCTCTAACTATCTTCATCACCATCCTTGCTATAGGTGTGTACGTATTTTTACGTTTTACAACATTTTTAATTTATGTTCTTTCTTATCATTAAAAAAAAAAATATGTTAATTCACCTTCAATTTATAGTGCATTTTGTTTTGGCATCCCCCAGTTAATACATAGTATACAACTTCAGATATGGTAAAAATAATTTTTAAACTACTAGATAACGTTAACCTAGATACTCTGCTATAATAAAAAAGTTAATAGTTGGCACAGTTGGTATTTAATAAGCATTTGTGTGTAGGTGGTAATGGGTTCGATTCTTAGATTGGTAAGGTTTTAAATATTTTTTGCTTCTTTCATCGTTTCCTTTTTTTAACAAAAAAAAAAAAAAGTTAATAGTTTTTATAGAAACTATTATTTCTAATTGGTTAAGGAGAAAAAAAGTTAATTCACATTCAATAGATATGTTTTTATAGAAACTATTATTTCTAATTGGTTAAGGAGAAAAAAAAAGTTAATAGTTTCTTTTTTTGTGTGCTTAGTGTCAACATATGATTGATAGACTTGACACATGCTCGGATCGTGTAAAGTTATTTTTTTCTAAAGATTTGTATAAAACTAATTAACCCTTCAAGTATTGGCCAATCAATTTTAACAATGGCCGATCAGTTTTAATAGTTTCAAGTATCAGTTGATGCATTTCAAACCCCTCAGCTAAAGTACTAGTAAGAATAATATTTCAACTTAGTTCCAAATAATAACTGTCAACTTATATTTGATGTCTTAAATATTAACTTGAGTAGGGGTGATGGTAATGGAAACGGTGGGGGAGAAATTGTGTTTTGAAGTTCTACCAAATAAACAAAAGCAGGCAAAAAGTACGATAGATTCATCAACTTGTATCATTGAAAGGTGTGTCCCTCAATGTAAGAGTAAACACCCTAGTGGGATCGGTACTTGCAAGCTAGATGTCAATAGAACAAGGAGAGCTCGTGAAGATAAGAGAAGGCCACCAAACTTGCCACCGCCACATTACGAAGAATGCCACTGCGTTTATAAATGCCCCAAATAACAATGAGAGATATCATCAATCAAACCATAAATATGCAAGTCAAATCACTCTTTTTTTTAGTTTGTTTTATTTTTTATAACAACTAGCTCGTAATCATTATATATATATTTATTTGATAATACTAAATAACATAGAGTGCACAGCATCGATTAGTTTTCTGATGAGTGTCTCATCAAATGAATCTAGATTCTCATATTGTATTCTTTTTAACAAAATCTTAACAAAGGTTTCATTTATTATAGTAAATGTTTTTTTTCATAGCCTACCTTAGATTAAACTAAACGTATAACCATCTTCACTAGAGTAACTATCAAAGGGTACTTAAAATTAAAATAATAATATAATTAATATTAAACTAATCAAATCAATCCATTAACAAATTTAAATAAAATTATCCTTCCACTAGAGAATCTTATCAAAGGTACTTAATCATATTTATAATATATTTATATCAAATTTAAATAAATTAGTATATAATCCAAATTTAACAATACAAAAATATAAATTACATATATTACATCAAACAAAGATACAAATCACACTCGAGAACCATATACATATATATTCACCAAGTTTCTACAAAATGGAACCATCCCTTTGTTGTCAATGAGCTTTAAATCTTGTCTAAAGATAGTTCCAATAAGATAAAAGTGATTGAATTTGAGTTTAGTGTATACAGATGAATCATTGGCTTTAAAGATTTAAACTATGTTCTCTATATTCTTCATCAAAACTATTCTTTACAAATGGATTAAAGCAAAAATAGCAAACCTAGAGTGATCTGACCACTGACGGATGATGAACTCCATGTGGTTATTACAATTGTTTCTCTTGTTGTTCCCCTCGATGAAGTGATCATTGAAGCAAAATATATCAGAATGAGTAAATGCTGCTCCTCGAGGAAAGTAGTAGACATGAGATAAAGAGAAGACAATGAAACGCCCTTGATAAACCAAATGCTGCTCCTCTGTAACACCCATAAACACAAACAAATAAGAGAAAAGTCTAAAAGTTGCCAGTACAAAAACAATGAAATTTATATGTAATATGGAGATTCAACCAACTACTTAAAGAAAAGAGTTATAAACATTCATGATACACTTCATCAATTGAAGCACAAACAATATGTGTGTTTCCAAAACTTCTTTTATACGCCTACAGACAGCAATATGGAACACAATTAAGAAGTGAGTTTCCAGAACTTCCTTTATACTTTGAGCCTTTTGATCAAACCTGCAACAGAAAATTATGAATCAGTGTGATGAAGAAAAGAGAAGAACCAACGACATGAAAAAAAGAAGATTGTTCTCATGCAACTACAACAGTTCAATTACAAAACCAATGTAGGTTTCGATCACACTTATCATGTCACTATAGAGAAAATTTAAACTTCTGATGAAGCTGAAACCATCACTAAATAAAAACTCAATAACCAGAACCACACAATTCTTATCACCACTAGCTCAATTCTGAACTCCACAACACAATTCAATTAAGCTATTGATGAAGTTCATAAACCTTTTCATTAACCAGAATTACACAAAGAGAACAAAGTCATCACTTGATTCATCAATTCATCAATTGAATATAAAAAAATATTTTCTTTTATATAAATTTAATCGTTACACAATCAAAGTTACACACGTGGCTTACTCGTTTCTTTCAGGGCCTTGTAAAAGAAACGATTCTCTCTATGTTGGACCCTTTAGTGAACTGTTGCATTTAATTTTAGCCACAAAAATTCAGAGTAACCCAACAAGTACCATGAGTAGAGCTGCTCTAGTGGAACTTCGGAGATACCTTGCATAACAAGTATGGCGCTTTCGGAGAATGTTATGATCTACCAACACTAAATTGCCTTCAGATTAAAAAAAAATAATGATTTTAATTTTAAATAATAAAGAACCGGAACTGAGTGCAATTAAGACTGACTCTGTTCATCACAAACAGAGAAAAAAAGAAAGAAACGTGTCTGCAAAGAAACTTGTAGCTTCAATCAAATTTTACAAAAGATATGAGTCATCTAGCTCCTGGATTAAGCTCTGTTGTGAAATTCATGGACATCTCAACTGAAGAATCATTAGTTGAATCCGTCATACGGCTTCCCATGTTTCTTGTCATTTCCATGTTCAGGCATTCTTTCAGATCCATTACCACTTGAGTCATCGTCGGTCTCCGTGAAGAAGACGGATTCAGGCAAGTCATTGCGGTCTCAACAACTTTCCATATCGTGTTTGGATCAAAGTCTCCTTGAAGCTTAGGATCCACAATGCTGTTAATGTCTCCTCTTGATAGCATCAAACCTACCCATTCACCTATATGTGATCTTTCCCTTTTCATGTCTATCACTGGTTGGTTTGTTACTAGCTCTAGTAGAACAACACCGAAGCTGAACACATCGCTTTTCTCGGTCAACCAATTAGTTCTGTAGTATCTGAAAGAGAAAAAAAATGGACAATCCACAATGTTAATTAGTTAACATGAAAATAGAAAAATCAAATAGGTGTTGTAAAAAGAAGTGATTAAGGTTTACTCGGGATCGAGGTATCCGGGAGTTCCAGCGACTACGGTTGAGACATGAGTTTCAGTTCCAAGTGGGAAAGACCGTGAAAGCCCGAAATCCGCAAGCTTAGCTTGGAATTTCTCGTTTAATAAGATGTTAGTCGTCTTAATGTCGCGGTGAACTATTTGGGGTTTGCATCCGTTGTGCAAATATTCCAATCCTTGCGCTGATTCAGCTGCTATACGAAGCCTTCCTTCCCAAGTTAGTATCGACGGTCCACGCTTCCCTGATATCAAATTTTCAAACAATATATAGTATCAGAATCATACAAGTGAAAACTTACAACTTATTAAAAACATTTTGTATAGCAAACAATCATACCTGATAAGTGCTCTTTCAAGTCTCCATTTGCCATGAACTCATAGATCAGAGACATTTTATCGCCTTCTTCGCAATATCCAACAAGACATGTGAGATCTTTGTGATGAACTCTAAGAAGCAACTCAACCTAAAAAGTAAACAAAACAAAAACATGATACAAGACGCAATCAAAACACTGTTTTCTACATTAGATAAAGAGTTAAATTTGGTTCAATCTGTTATTAATTACCTCGGCTTTAAACTGTTTGTAACCAAGTGCAGTGGACTCAGTGAGCATCTTAACCGCAACTGGTTCGCTATTCAAGATGCCGTAATAAACCACACCAAAACCTCCCCTACCAAGAACCCTCTCAAAGTTGTTTGTGATCTTTAGAACATCAAGGTAAGTCAATTTCCGGTTCTTCGCTATAATGGGAGATTCAGAGCCGTGGTGAGACCTCCAATGTAACGGTGTTGTACCAGTACCTGAATTAGGATTTGAACCAAGCTTGGATCTCTTCTTCCTCTTAAGGACAAGGAAAGTAACGATTCCAGCTCCTATGAGCAAGACTGAAACAAGTGATGCTGCAACAGGTGCAATAACCGCGCTTTTCTTCTTCTTTCCCGCGGTAGCACATGAAGCAGATGAACAGAGTCCAGTATTTCCTTCAATGCTAGGGTTTTCAAATTGGTGATTGAAAAACAAATTTGATTGGAAAAGTATTATGGAATTTTTTTTTTCTTTTCTTTTTGGCTCATACACACGCATGGATTACTAATTACCTTAACGATAATGATCCTCTTCGTGCATTATCAAGGAGAGTTTCAGGGATTGAGCCATTTAGATCATTGTCTGATAGATTACTGCACAAGACAGGTTGAATAAAGTTTACAAAATGTTATCCTTTTGGTGTTAATGGAATAAAATTTTTAAAAATTTGAGCCTCTTCACTTTTGAACTTACATGAGTTTTAAGGTTTTCATGTTTGCTAGAAACTCTGGGACTGAACCAGTTAAAGTATTGTTAGACAAGTCACTGCAAGAAAATCAAAGCCAACAACAAAAAAAAAAAAAAACCCATCAAGACATACAACTCTAAATCAAAACTTTGCCCCATTTTCAAAGAGACTTGAGCATATTAAGTACTTACAGAACTTCTAAATTGGTAAGGTCTGATATGAATTCCCATATCTCTCCTGTCAAGCCACTTGAAGAAAGGTTCCTGTTTTCAAAGATCAATGATTTTCTTAAACCCTTTATGAAAAGCATATGAAGAACAAATCAAACTCTGCTCTCAAAACAGAAACAAATAAAAATTCAATTACTTACAAAGAAATGATCTTTGGTTGCTCATTGTCAATATAACTGCAATTAACACCAGACCACCTGTAATCCCGAGGCGCGCAGGGATCTCCTTCCCAGTCAATCTCGTTCAAGTCGTAACCCGATTTTATGTTCATCATTGCATCAACTGATAATATATTTTCTTATGTAAGTGAAAGTTTGCTTTCTTGATCAAAACTAAAAGCACAAAAGTGGTTAGTTATTTAGTTTCATACCTTGTTTTCTTTCAGTTTCTTGTTGTGGCAATGAGCTGATCGAGTAAACTTCCATGGCATTGAGTATAGGAGGTAATGTCGAATTTCCGGTCCTTTGAAGCGAAAAGATGTATTGTCCATTTGCATCCGCGACAACTTCGAAAGGGGTATATACAGAAGTAGTTCTGTAATTAAGCGGTCTAAAGGGTCCATAGATATGCCTGTCATTGTACATGATATTAAACTCTCTTGTTTCATTGGAACTGAGCTCTTGAATTTCAGCAAATTGCATAACAACGTAGAATTGCATAGCGCGGTCCTCCCCAGGGAGAGAAATGTTCATAGGTTCGTCCGGGTCTGTTGGAACAGAGGCTGTGACCATAGCGACCTCGGGTGGCTGGTAGTCATTATCGACATTCACCGTCTGATTGGTACTAATCTGTGACCATTTCCCGAAATTATACGGAGTCCAGACACGATCAAACACATCTTTCCCGTACCTAAAAACAGAGCATATTTAGGAGCTTTTTCATACAAAAACTTGACAAGAGAGTTTGAAACCAACTAACCTGTAGACTGTGTCGGTAATTGCGCCAGCGTCTGCTCTGACGACGAGCTGCAATGACCCTTGTTTGGTCAAGTAAGTTGTGTTAACGAGTTTACGAAGCTCTAAAACGGATATAAAAGGCTTCGAGTCTCCTGTTTTGACAAGACAGATTTGCAAGCGATCAGTGGTCAAGAGATGAATCATCTCAAAGACTTTTGCGTTGGTCTCGTTCGTGGTTGAAACTGTAGACCATAGGTTAGGCCCAAGGTGGAGCTCGAATTGCGTTGAGGGTTCGTCGTCATAACCGCCGTGAAGGAAACTTGCTCTGATTAGATATTTGTCCCCTATGGTTAGATTCAAGGTATAACAGTTTCTTCTGCCTTCAGGAAAACTCCGTAGGTTCCTTGTGGAAGAAGTAATAAAAAAAACATATAGCGTGAGGTTTAAGCTAACGTAGAATTGAGCTTGAGAGTGTTATTATCTATACCATGTTTGTTGCTGGTAGTCCCTACGGTAATCTTGTTTGATGCTTCTAGCAACACCGGTATTAATGAAATCCGCATCGGAAATGTAAGTAATGTTTGTAGCAATCTCACGAAAGCTTTTTCCTCTCGGCGAGCCGCAACCCAAACTGATGAATCCTGAGGGGAAAAAGAAAACAAAAGAAGAAGAACCTTTAGTAGAAGAGTTTCAAAACCAAACAGGATTTGATGATGATGAAGATTTTATATTTTTGTTAACCTGACTGATCTTGAGCAAGACTAAGAAACAAAGCTGAGAATAGTTGCAGAAGACCTATGAGAAGGCTGCAGGTAGAAAAAAACGCCATTGAACTTTTGTTTTGCCGGATTAGAAGGTGAAGGAGGAATCAAATGAAGATATATTGTGATAAAAAGGTTTGAAAAGTGGGACTTGCTTTTGTTGTCTGAACCGCGTTTGTACTGGTTACTATTATTGTGAGCTCAAAGTCAAACATTTTTAGTTGAGGTGACCAATTGTGATTTTTTTACGTTAAGGCGTTGCGTTGACGAATAAATATATAATTGTCTAATTAGAGTTAGACCATTACATAACACGAATTTTTTTTTTGATAATGTGAAAATCCCACCAATAATTTTGGGATTTCCAACTTTTAAAATTAAATTATTGGTGATAATGTGAAAAAATTTCACCAATAATTTCGATTTTCTAAGTTCTGATGTATTGAAATTTTATTACCATTTCATTTGAATCAAAATTTAGAAGACTTGAATCAAAAAGAAAACCTTAAAATTTGAGAAGTCAGAAAGGAATTTGGTTGGTGACTTGGTGATGTGCTAATAATACATGCACCAATAAAACTGAGTATATGGAGAGAAGACGACCACGACTTTATTGAATAAACAGAACAAACAAAAATGAGAAGAAAATATGGAAAATATATGGTCAATATCAATTTGGCACCATTATTACAAGATTACAATCCATTAATATATATAACCTAGTGGCTAGTGGGCGATATACATGCATCTTCTTATGTTATTGATGTTTACTACTAAAATTGCAACAAATCTTCGGTAAAGTAACTATGTACTACATTAAATTATATTGTTTATTTAAATATTTTCCGGTATGGAATTGGAAAATTATAACAAAATCGGTTGTTTGACATCGAATTAACAACAATAAAAAGTTCGAGTTTTTAAACATTACCGTAAAATTCAAAACGCATTAGTTCTCATGTAAATATGAAAGTTTTTGAATACGATTAAACCTTAAAAATCAGTTAACCGTATAGCTAAACTTTAAATATTTTTTTTATAAAGATACATTTACAGTACTTATTAATGAGAAACACCCTCAAGTAGTAGCAAACTATGTTTTATGGATAATAATAATACACATTCTATAAATTTTCAAAAATAGCACTAATTAACATAATTATATATTTTAAAAAGTTTTTTTTATAAAAAAACATTTAGGTTTGGGTTGACTATTTTATATTTAGGGTATAGTTTTATGAGGGTAGATTTATTGTTTACAGTTTAAAATTTAATTTTGAAATACAGTGCTAATTTCGGAAAATAGAAGAGTGTGTGCTAAATTTGGAAGAAAAACTTAAATTAGTCTTATTTTTGAGAATTGATCATTTTAGTGTAATTATTCATTTTCTACTATCATTTTCAATATCTAGAAAGGAAAATATTTATTTTCTAATATCATTTTTCAAAAATATCTCTCATGTAAAATAAAATAAAATAACTAATAAAATTGGAAGTTAAAAAAAAACTTTACTAAAATATTTCTACAAAAATCAGACGTGCGAGAACTTTTTTTTCTAAAGAAGTCGGTATCTTTGGATTTTCTGTGGGAATGATTAAATTGATAAAAAATTGATTTTAGAAGATTTGGATTTGTTTGACCTATTATGCAAAAACTTTTGAAAATCCAAAATAATGAAATACAATGCAGTAATCAAAATATAAAAAAAAAAAAAAAAACCTAAAATCAAGGCGCCGATTGGTAAAGGCTGTTACTTGTGGCTGTAGAAACTGTGACTGTAAAGACTTTTACTGTAGAGACTTTTGCTGTAAAAATTTTGGCTGTAAACACTTTAACGGTTAAAAGTTGAATTTTTTTTTTGCTATTATATATAATTTTTATAAATATATGATTAGGCATGTCAATCGGGCTAGTCCGGCCTGACCCGGCCCAAAACCCGTAAAGCCCTAATATATTTGAGCCCAGCCCGGCCCGGCCCGAAAAATATCCGGGCCTATATTTCAAAGCCCGGTCCGGCCCTAACAGGGCTACAGGGCTTTTCGGGCTTTTTTGGGTTTTAGCTAACGATAAAAAATCAACTTCTAAGTTCATAATAGTTTTTAAAAAACAATATTTAAAAGTATACTATAAAAATAATGTATCAAAATTTAAATAACTTATCAATATTCATTAAAACTAACTTAATTTAAGAGAAAAATTGAAGACTAAATAAATTATTTACACTTTAACCTAATAAAACATGGAACTAAAATACTTTAAAGTAGATGATAGAGTCAATATCTATATATAATTTTAGCTTTGTTCAGTTTTGACATATATAAATAATAGAAAATATGATAGATGATGATTTTAAAAGTATTAAATAAGGCTAGTAAGTAAATATGAAAAATTAATTCATTAATCAAATCTTCTATTCAAACTACAATATTTACAAAAATAAAAATATATTTATTTAAGGGCTTTTCGGGCCAGCCCGACCCCGACCGGGTTAAGCCCATAAAACCCTTTAGCTCGAATGGGCTTATCCCATAAGGCCCGGTTTTTTCTGGACATATATATTTAAGCCCGAGCCCGATGTTTTTTAGGGCCGGGTCGGACTAGCCCGCGTGCTTTAGCCCTAATTGACATGCCTATATATGATGATCAATATTTATCCATATGTAACATAGTGACAAATAAATAAAGTTTTTTAATATTTATAATATAAGAAAATACAATTGTGATATTGAAAATATTAAATTTATAAAGAAAAGTGGATGTCAAAAAAAAGTAAAAAAAATACTGATAATTAATTTACAAAAAAAAAGTTTGAAAAAAATATATATAAATGTATAGAGAGTTTCTAATTATTATAGGGAGAAGAAAAAATAATTTTTAAAACTTATTTCTTCTAAAGTTTATACAGCCGTGATATTGAGACTTTAAAAATAAAGAGAAAACTAGGTTCGTACCCGCGCTATAGCGCGGGGGAAATAATTACATATATATAACTTTTAACGGATTATAATATATTAACATTTTAATTTTATTGCAATGTAGTCGATTACGATGAATGATATATTTGTGTAATAATTTTAAATAAAATATAAACGAAAAAGCGTGTAAATAATAATACATTAAATTTTGATACAATTATAAAAGTGAAAATTTAACAGTACGAAAGAATATTTATCGACAAATTATTTAATTTGACTATTTTGTAGTAGAAGTAGGAATATATGTAAAAATTACATATTTACTATATATTTTTTGAAGGACCAACCCGTAAGAATTCATTTTGTAAAAAATATTATTCATAACTCGCTTTACCATTATAATTGTGATTTTCATAAACTACCCGCGAACTATCTAAAATTTACATAGTTTGATATATAAAATATTTCATCAATAATATTACACCTATATCCCCAAAATTACATCTATTTCTCCAAAAAATATTTTAACTATTTTAAATTCTAAATTTTTTATATATTTGGACCTTTTAATTATAATATTTTAAACTTTTTAAACTTATATATATGCTCATGTAACAATGGTTTGAATAATGGTCATACTTATACTGATTTAAAATCATTTTCCAAAATATTTAACCGAGTGTAGTTGAATATTATATGTCCGTTTTGAAAAATTCAAATTGCAATATATACAAAAAAAAATATCTTTTTATTATATAGTATAATATCATAAATTGAAAATAATATTAAATAAAAGTTAAAGAAAAATAATAATTGATTAGTTAGAAAAATATTAGGAAATCATAAAATTAGTTTTTTTTTTGTCATCAAGGAAATCATAAAATTAGTTAAGGAAATAATATAATCTTAAAATTAGATTTAGAAAGTATCCGGTGTATGTATCCAAACCCAATTTAATATCCAATTTTGAAATATAGAGATTGTTAAAATTGGGTTAATTTTTTAATTTTGACCCGACCCGTATTCCTTTGTACTTCTCTTTTACTAATATAGAGATAAAGAAGAAAAAAAAATAAAGTCACTTTTAAGGCTTTTAAAAAACTAAAAATAAAAAAAAAATTTGATTGATAAAAATATAGCCGTTAAGACTTTAAAATTGTTTTAAAGCCTTAAAAGTCACTACCAATCGGCCCCCAAGTGTCGATATTCCAATTTCCAAATTCCAAATACTGTATATGTCGAAACGAAAACGAGTGCACATGGCCTAAACCTAATTAACCTTATTAAGGTTTGACTGTTGACTTTCTGTTTTTTAGTTAGCCGTTGATTTCTCACTATTCAACAGCGATTCACAAAACTATAGAGAACCTCAAAATAACTTTAATCAAAGAACTGAAGGATTTTTTTTTTTTTTGTTATGAATATAGAATTAGAACTAAAACTTAAAAGGATGAGTGTAAGACTTTAAATTCATTCTTTACAATGATTCTTTCGACACAATAAGACACCATTGCCAAGAATGGTTTTTGTTCAAACAAATCATGGCGTGAGACACTACTGTTTACCCTGTTGTGTTGTCTTATCTAGGTTACAAAATCAGGGATTTATTTCTATTTCTGGCCCATTCTTTGCAGAGGAAAGAACCCATGTGAACATATCTCTTTTGTCTTGGTCAAACCTAACCAAAAATATAAGCAATTCTCTAATTTTGTTTTTGTCTACTACATACCGTTGACTTGTTCATTAGCAGAGAGATACACAAGTTGTTTAAAGAAATCAACTTAGAAAAAAAAAAAAAAAAAGCTACTTGTTGTTCAATAATGATTTATACGTTGTGAGCACAACAAATATGATTCGTATCTAACAAAAGCGTTGACATAGTCTTTTTAAAGTTGTTGACTTTGAACCCACTCTGGTGCTTCTCAGAAATGGATAAACCAGTTGTTACATTATAGGAGATGATGGCTGTTTTATGCTGTTTGAAGAACTGAGATGATGTCGTCGAAGGCTGTGCTTACGTTTCTTTGCTGTGTGGCTCTTATCAATCTTGCCAACGCTCAGGATCAATCAGGTTTGGTCAAGTTACAGATTATGCTCTTCTTTGATCTTTTATCTACATGATATGAATAAAGAAACAGAGATTTTTTTTAAAACATCTGAATCAGGGTTCATTAGCATCGATTGCGGGTTACAACCGGAAAATTCCAGCTACACGGAGACATCAACCGGTGTAAAGTATGTTTCGGATTCGAGTTATACGGATACAGGAGCCAGCAGTTTCGTGGCGCCTGAGAATAGACAAAACATGATGCAGAGCATGTGGTCTGTTAGAAGTTTTCCAGAGGGAATCAGAAACTGTTACACTGTTGCTGTTAATAGCAGCTCCAAGTATTTGATCCGGGCGGCTTTTATGTACGGTAACTACGATTCGAGAAACGAGATACCGCGGTTCGATCTTCACTTGGGTCCAAACAAATGGGACACTGTTGAACTTGAGTCTCCTATGCAAACAGTGTCCAAGGAGATCATGTACTATGTGTTGACAGATACGTTACAAGTGTGTTTAGTGAACACAGGTAACGGTACGCCTTTTATATCGGTATTGGAACTTAGACCGTTGCTGAATTCTTCTTACGTTGCTCAATCTGGATCACTCCAGCTCTTTGAAAGATTGGATTTTGGATCAACAACAAACTTAACGGTTAGGTATCCAAACGATGTTTTCGATCGGATATGGTTTCCCTCCACGCCAAATGGATCCAAGTCGTTAAGTGACCCGTCGACTTCTCTCACAAGCAACAGCACCGGTACCTTTCGTCTTCCACAAGTTGTGATGAGAAGTGGAATTGTACCAGATATTCCAGGAGGGTCTGTAGATTTTGGATGGGTTCCAGATGATCCCTCTCTTGAGTTTTACTTTTACTTGTATTTTACGGAACTTCAAGAACCGGATTCCAGAACCGTAGAAACAAGAGAATTCATGATCTTGTTGAACGAAAAGGCTTTTGGGAAACCGCTTAGTCTTAACTACTTCCGGACATTAGTCCTCTTCACTTCAGACCCGTTGACAGCAAAGAGCTTCCAGTTTTCTCTTCGTCAGACTCAGAATTCATCTCTTCCTCCACTGATCAATGCTATGGAGACTTACTTTACAAACAAACTACCGCAATCATCAACCGATCAACAAGACCGTAAGCTCTCTCTCTCTCATGACCTCTTCTAGTTCCTGAAACCAACCACTTTCTCACTGTGTTTATCTCCCGGTTTTGTGAATGTTTATAGTTTCGGCTATGCGGGATATCAAGTCTGCATATAAAGTCAAGAAAAACTGGGAAGGAGACGTGTGTGTACCTCAAGCTTACACATGGGAAGGTCTGAATTGTAGCTTCAATGGCACAAACATGCCTAGAGTAATAGCTTTGTAAGTGTCTTATAAACAGTTTACTTCTCTCAATCTTGAGTAAGTCTCAGCAGTTTATTGCTCTATGAAACAGGAACTTGTCATCCGCCGGACTAACAGGGGAGATAGCCTCTGATATATCCCGTCTTTCACAGTTACAAATTCTGTAAGTTTGTTCTCTTGTTGGTCACAAAAGGTATGCAAATAGTAGTACTAGTCGCTAGCTAACGTTTCAAAACTTTCAGGGACTTGTCAAATAACAATTTGACTGGACCAGTACCAGCTTTCGTAGCTCAACTTCAAAACCTGAGAGTCCTGTATGTACTTTCTTAACTCATAGCTCCTAATAATTATATAGTAAATGACAGTATCTATTGTGGATTTTGTAGACATTTGGCGAACAACCAGCTTAGTGGTCCTATACCACCTATTCTCATGGACAGACTAGAGTCGTTTAGGTACTCCAAGAAAACACTTTGCTTTCTCATTCTATATATGTTCGAGCTCGAAAAATTGTTAAACTGTTTTAACTCATAATGATTGGTATATATCTAATGCAGTATCAATGGGAATCCAAGTCTTTGTCCTACAAGTGCGTGTGAAGAGGTCTCACGAAATAGATCAAAGAAGAATAAACTTCCTGGCTTTGTCATTCCATTAGTTGCATCACTTGCAGGGCTGCTTCTTCTTGTTATCATATCTGCAGCAATAGTTTTTATCCTCATGAGAAAGAAGAAACAAGGTATCTAAAATGTTTTAGTTAACTTATTTTTGAGTTTCAGAAGAAATGGTTTGTTGGTAAAATGGTAATGTGTATGACTTGTCTGCAGGTGGAATGATAAATAGGACAATTACAGCTTCAAGTAATGGACCGTCGTTACAGAGGAGAGATACTGGTTCAATGCGTCCATCGTTGCAGCGAAGAGAAACCGGTTTCTCAACATATCCATCATTACAGAGAATAGAGAGCGGAATGACAGACTACCAAGGGAACGAAACCGCGGTAGATGCGTTTGATTTGGAACCAACAAATAGGAAGTTTACATATGCTGAGATTGTTAATATCACTAATGGTTTCGATAGAGATCAGGGAAAGGTAGGATTTGGAAGAAACTACCTTGGACAGTTAGATGGTAAAGAAGTGACTGTCAAACTTGTTTCTTCACTATCTTCTCAAGGCTACAAACAACTCAGAGCAGAGGTATACCATGCCAGAACTCTTTAACAACAAATTTTATTTGATTACTAACCGATAATGAAAAGGGACTTAGAAGAGTTTTTCTATATGTGAATTCTAATTGTAGGTCAAACACCTTTTCAGAATTCATCATAAAAACCTTATAACCATGCTTGGTTATTGCAATGAAGGCGATAAAATGGCGGTTATATATGAGTACATGGCTAACGGAAACTTGAAACAACATATCTCAGGTTTTCAAATCTTGTTCTGCTTTATGTTTTTCTTGAAGTACAAGTAATAAAAATATCTCAGATTTATAATCTTGTCTTCTGCAGAAAACAGTACAACTGTTTTTAGCTGGGAAGATAGACTTGGGATCGCGGTTGATGTTGCACAAGGTTATCATTTGAAATTTTACTTCTGTATTAGACTGAAACAATCTCCCTTCATCTTGGAGTTCTGTTTCTATAACAAGTTCTGTTATTGCGAATGACTTATAGGACTTGAGTATTTGCATACTGGCTGCACGCCGCCGATCATTCACAGAAACGTCAAGTGTACAAATGTGTTCTTAGATGGAAACTTCAATGCCAAGTTAGGCGGTTTTGGCCTTTCGAGAGCATTTGATGCAGCAGAGGGAAGTCATTTGAATACAGCCATAGCTGGGACTCCTGGATATGTCGACCCTGAGTAAGTACCAAGCTCGAATCGTAGCCGAAAATCTAAAAAAAAATGTGCTTTCTTCTGCCGGTTTATTCATAAAATAATCTGATCTTTCATTGCAGGTATTACACATCAAACATGTTAACCGAGAAGAGCGATGTGTACAGTTTCGGTGTAGTTCTATTAGAGATTGTTACTGCGAAACCCGCGATCATAAAGAATGAGGAAAGGATGCATATAAGTCAATGGGTTGATTCTTTGCTCTCTAGAGATAACATTGTACAGATTCTTGACCCGAGTCTTTGCGGAGATTATGATCCAAACTCTGCATTCAAGACCGTGGAAATAGCAGTGGCTTGCGTTTGTCGAAATTCTGGCGAGAGACCTGGAATGAGTCAAGTGTTGACGGCTCTTAAGGAGAGTTTGGCTGTAGAAGTTGAGAGGAAAAAGCATTTGCCAGTTGGATCAACAGATTCAGTTGAAGAGCTTGCACTTGGCTTTGGTTCCAATCCACCTCCTCGTTTGAGATGATTATTTATTGATTTCATTTTTGTAATGTTTGTGGTCTCTCAAATTAATCTGTTATATATGTTTTTACGTTTGTGAGTTCGAATAACCAAAAAAAAAAAATCGTTGTTCATAAATGTTTGATCCAGATGTGAGGATTTTTTTACAGTATAGTTTGGGTCTGATTAGGGTCATGTGTGGGAAGAAAATATTGAGCAGTTATGCGTGAGGCACAAACTTTCCAAGGACTTACTTGTGACCTAAGGAACTTCCAGATTTGTGCTCTTGAGTGACTTACGGTCTGTGCCTTGGCCAGAGACATAAACGTGAGATAATTAACTTAGACATGCGTTTCGATATACATACTGTAGATTGATCAGGCCGGACCAATTTCGGATTGTATCGATTTATGTTCAATATATGTGTTTGAAATCATCAGTTTCATCATCTCGGAGAAAGATTTAATAAAGCTTGACACTGTATTTTATTTTTATTGATTGACAACACGGAACCATGATTGACATTTTCAATAAGTAGATGAGATGAAGAAGAGAGATGAAACGTTGGCATCAAAGTTCATCTTTCATGTTACTCTTATTTGGCGATGAAGAAGACTCAAGAAGATGTCTTGTGGCTAAGGAGGCAAGAAGGGAAGCACCATAAGGGAGTGATTCTTCATTAACTTCAAAAAAGGGAGAGTGAGGGTTCGCCATTGGTGAATGAGTTTTGTCTTGCATTCCAAGAAAGCTAAAATGTCCTGGCATTGCTTCTTGGTAGAAAGAGAAATCCTCTGATACCATCACTGGTAGTGTCTCAAAATAATTCTCAGTCCCTAACATATCCACTGAAATGCTCTCGTAAAACAGGTGCAAGTCTTTGTCGTTCACAGTCGGCGGAAAAGGAGGATTCACATCTTCAAGAAAGTCTACTGTTGCATTGCACATACTCACGCTTGCTTGCGTTGTGATAACCTGAAACATTTGACTCGCGTTTATCAAGACTCTTGATTCAAGATGAAAGGAAGACACAGATGTCTCAGAGTACAATATCAGATTGCAAAGTTACTGACCTGCTCAATTCTGATCTTAAGTTGCTCCAAACCTCTAGGTGAAAGGGCTCGGAATGTGCCACCGATAGTAACAGAGTCAGGAATGACATTAAAAGCATCACTGCCTTCAAATTTAGCAACTGTAACCACCTGTAAGCACTCACTCAAATCAATCCACATGCATATAGGAGACACTACTTTTCCTTAAAGAGCCAAAGATATTAAACTAAACCTGCGAGTCTAAAGGATCTGCCTCTCGCGAAACGAGCTGTTGTAAGCTCTGAATAACATTTGAAGCTGCCAATACCGGATCTATGGCGAATTGAGGAAGAGCTGCATGACCTCCTCTCCCGCTTATCTTGGCTTTAAAACGTCCACTACCAGCCATCAATAGACCCTCTCTTGAGCTCAGTTGGCCTAATCCCAATAGATTCGAAACATGTAACCCAAAGATTGCATCCACTTTCTCCAATACTCCAGCCTCCACGATTTTCTTTGCTCCTGCTCCACCTTCCTCAGCTGGTTGGAAAACCAAAACCACTGTACCCTGATGAAGAAAATGCCCAAACAGAGTGTTAAAGAAACCAACCAACATTGATATTTTCAACAGAGAGTTAGATTAAAAAGATAAATTACAGTACACCACTAAACCTGTAGCTCTTCTTGATGTTCTTTGAGCAACTTTGCAGCACCGAGGAGCATTGTAGTGTGAGCGTCATGTCCGCAAGCGTGCATCTTCCCTGGAATCTTACTCTTGTGTTCCCATTCCACCATTTCCTACACAACTCAATCATATGATCTCTTCAGTAAGAATCCATTACCTTGTGGCTGAAGTAATTTAAAATTACATAAGAAAATCAAAAACCTTATCATACCTGAATAGGAAGTGCATCCATATCAGCCCTCAAAGCAACAAAAGGGGCATGACCAGTTCCGATATATCCAATAACACCAGTTACAGCAACTGGATACTTATAAGACACACCCATCTTCCCCAGTTCTGTCCTGACGAGCTTAGATGTCTCTACTTCCTCATAACCTAGTTCTGGGTGCTCATGGATTCTCCTTCTGATTCCAACCATCCAATTGAAAAAATCCTCTCTTTTGGCCAGAGTAAGGAAGTTCTTAGGGATTTGAGATAAATCATTGGAGGAACATGAATACAGAAACGAGTTGAACAAGTGAAGGATGAAAACAGCATAAACCAATTTGGCAACACTCATTTTCAAATACAGAGGTTTCTACGTGATGGTGAAGTAAGAAAACATGTAGGAGAAAGCAGTATTTATAACCAAGAACTCTCACAAATAGCAAGCCAAAGACACTACGGAAACTGCATAAAAGATCTTAGATATTTTATTTTTGTAGTTTTCTTAGATCCCAAGTCACCAGAAAAAACATGTTCTTTACCCGAATTGGTTACGATCAAGGTGATGTCCGTTTGTTCTCCAGATCGATGGTCCATCCCCATCTGAATTCTTGCAGAAGGTGTTGTTCCTTTAGTGCAATTTAACACATCACCCGTATGGACCATGTAGATGTCCTTTTCAAACACTTCCAAAATGATTTAAGAGTTTCAATGGTGCATTTAGATGGAGATATGATTGTAAATGTATATATAAAATATCCTCATTTACAATCATATCTCAAATTTTAGATTTTTTTTTTATACTAGGATGTCGGCCTGTGCGTTGCTGCATATTTAAAATAACAAACATTGTTAAATTACTTTTTCGAGTGGAAAATTAGTTATAATTCTCAAACTTCACTTTCTTCTACATATATAAACAAGGGGCTGTGAAAACAAAAAAAATGCCAACATTTAAAGTTAGGGGTACAACGAATAAACACAATTGTTAGGTATAAAAATTCGCAACTTTTAATATCATTAACAAATATAAACCGTTAGATGAGATAACCAAAACAATCTCATCCGTTATATTAAAAAGATAACAGCATCAATCACAAAAACAATCTCGACGCTATATTCCATAGAACGCCATCCTCTCAAACGCTTCATAGCCTTCTCACACACACACAGAAAGACTACAATACTCAAGAAACAAAAACTTTTTTCATAGTCCATATCTAGAAATCTGTATATATAAAAACAAAGGGGTGTGAAAACAAAGATGTGTGCAAACAAAATGGTGCAAACATTTAAAGCTAGGGGTACGACGAATAAACACAATTGTTGGGTATAAAACTATACAATTTTTAAAATCATCAACAAATATAAACCGTTAGATGAGAAAATCAAAACAATCTCATCCGTTATATTAAAATGATGACATCATCAATCACAAAAAGTGAGTTTGCGCATAATAGATTTAAAAAATCACATACTATTTGCACAATCTTTTTTTTTTTTTTGAAATGGTAAAATTACGAATTATCATTTTCTCATCAAAAATGTAAAATAAAATTAATGTGTTATCGATTGACTCACGGTCGGGTGTTTTCCTTACAGAGCTTATATTTTTGCAATTCTTTTGTTGTTTTACGATATGGTGAATAGAAGCAAGAAAATTATGTTTAAAATAGGTTTAAGTCGGGATTAATTATAAAGTATACTAGATTTGGTAACAGAAGAATATATGCAATTCTTATACAAATATTAACATATAATCTAACAAGTGTGTTTTAAGGTTGGTTAAACGCAAATTGTGAATAGTTTATAACATGTGATGCTAGATAATATGTTTTTAATTTTTTCCTTTGTATTGCTGGCAAAGGGATTTTTTTTTTTTTTTTTTTTTTTTTTTTTTTTAGTACACATGTAGGAATCATTGCGATCTTGAAGGTGAGATTGTAATTTCATCCTCACTTGTGAAGACAAAAAATTTCGATTTGCAAAATCTGTTTAACTGTTTTTGTTGTTGTTTTGTTTTGTTTGGAGAGAATCATTTCGTTTTCATTTCAAGTTTTGTGACACGTGAATAAACAAACTCGACATTGGACGATTGTATTTGCTGGACGGTACGGGAATATAAAGCAAGAAAAACAAAAAAAAAAGGACATAAAACATATATCTCTTAATTATTGGAAAAGGCCTAAAAAAACTTCAACGTCGAGACTCGAGATGATTAGTTTAACGTTGCTCACTCAAAACTCAAACTTGTTAGATTCTGAAAAACAATGAAAGTCCAAAGAATCTCAACAGTTTAGTTCGGTGTGCCATTTGATTTACAATGAAGATGTATCTGCTTGATCTGCTTCCGCTTTGATTGAGTAACTCTAGTGATTTTGTTGAGAAAGTTATTTGGTGACAAACAGTTTTAAAAGGTGAGACCAATATATCATAAATCATTTTAAAGATCTATCTAATGATTATTACATACTGTTTTCTTTTCACAATCAGCAGATGATCATTGCGCGATATGTGTTTGAATGGTAAGTAGTAACTAACCAGACGAATCTGGTTTCCTTTCGTTTAATGTACTATCTGCATATGCAGCGCAGGTTCAACAGCTGGTTGCGAAATTGCCAAACTTGGTTTTAAGAAAGTAAGCATAGTGGCGACATACAATGATGATACAAGGAACAATGAAGTCCCTGCATCACCTAGAAATGGCAACCAGAGATTCATTTATCTTCCATAAGCAAAGAACTTGTTAACCAGAAATGGAATGCCGTATTGACCAACAAAAACTAAAACCATTCATTAATATCTCAAAAACCATAAGCAGGAACGCGTCCAGTTTATGGCGTTGATGAATCATTTGATGCAGCTTTACGGTAAACAAACTGTTCTCCTCAATTTTTATCCTACTTTCTATCAAGAGCAAGAGATATCTGATTCCCCCTAGGGACTGAAAACAACTAAAACTACCTTTTATTTAACAATCTGTCATGTCAAAAATATGTTTAACCATTGCAATACCTGGTTGATTAATTTAGGATCAGTTCTGTCCATGATCATACTCAAGCACTTATTAAAACAAAAACCACGAGCGACGAGTGGAAGATCTGTTAGAAGCCAACTCAAGAATCGTGGGTGCAAGTTGCAGTAAGGGCTCCAATGCGCTTGGAGCAAACTTTCTGGCAAAGAGATAACAGATTTGAGACGGCTGATCATTGTAGAGGCAGGATTTGGCTCCTGGAAGCTTCTTGAGAAAACTTTCTGTTATATCAGCCTTGCCAAAAGTAGCTGGATGAGCACCACCACGTGACCAATCTGTCCATGTCAATGTCCGATTGGCCAACAAAACCCGGTGTTTCATAGACAACATCGTGGGAAAGTAATGTTCATCAACATAACATGGAGGTCTACAAAACTCTTTGAATACGGGATAGTAAGTAGTGTCTTGAACAATCTCAACAGCAAGTTTCCTGTTAACTTCAAACCACTGAGACCCTTTTCTCCACTGGCTTAGTTTGACCACAGGTTCCATTCCAGCCCGATATCTACCTCTTCCATCAGGTCCTTCCTCATCAGCAGCACCCATGAAACTATATCTTGATTCAGAGACATAACTATAGATAAAGCCGAAACCACGCAGAGGAATGCATGATTCAGACAGCAGAATGAACCATTCATTAGATATATCCAGCAACGCGTTAGCCAAAAGCCTCCTTTCAGCTTCACCCATGCTCATCTCTCCCCATGCCACAGCCTATAATGAAGAAGAAACCGATATTGTGAGGAACACAAGAAGCAAACACTAAAAAAATGGTTGCAAGATGTCCCTCTGAAACATCAAAAACAGTACCTGACTTGGGATATATCTTCTGTAAAACACAGATGACCTCGAAAAATCCGATTTGTAATTAGGCAGTGCATGAACATAGATTGAATAAAGACCCTCATATCCATCAAAGAACTTCTCCCAGAGAGGAGCAAACGGTAAAGGACCTTTGCTGAGAAACATGAAGGCCAATTTAGGAACCCGTTTAAACGGATACCCATTCCTCTGTGGCTCCATGGAAGCACGCCAAAGCAATTCAGTGTCATTCATTGTGTGCCAAACATTGGAAGGAGGCCTAATAAAGCTATCTAAAGTAACAATTCCATGACCATACATAGAGATCAAAGTGGTTGGAGCCACAGGATCCAGATGTTGAATTTTCAAGAACTTAATCATGTGTATACTAACAACTGAGATCCCAAGAGTCAACACAAGAAACAATAACAAAATCTGAAGCAGCCGCATCGACAAAAGAGCTCTAGATTGGTTTGTAACTCTCGATTTAGGTGTTGATACAGCATTATCTTTAACCCCTTCCTCCATCTCCATTACTCTCATCTAACACCTCCTCCCTTTCTTAGCTATCGCCTATCGATATATATATATAATCAGAAATCGCTGTTACTTCCAGAAGAATCCAGTTTCTGTGTTTCCTTAACAATCCCAATGTAAAAGAGTCTTTTGGACGAAAAAAATCCAATCGGACAAAGTTTACGACAAATGTCTGTAAGAGAACAACAGATTACCAAAAAAAAGACACTTTTTTTTAATAGAAACTCAGAAAGATTGGGACTTTTAAAGAAGCAAAGATTTGGAAGAAAGAGAGACGAACAAATTGGATTGTGGAATAATCGAAACTTGGATCTAAATAAACAACGACGACGAAGAAGAAGAAGAAACAAACCAACGAAAAATTGTATCTTTCTCACATTTGAAGAGGCTCTCGAATTTTGTACACTTGAAGATGTTTGTCTGATGCATCCATTGTGAGACTTTTCTGATAACTCTCAATCTGATTTGTCATCTCAAAGGAAACATAAGCATAAACCTAAGAGTGTAGCGTTTTTGTAATATTCTCTCATTTCAATTCACTGTTACTTTTTGAAGTAAAGTTTTGTATTTCTCGGATTTTTTACAATCAGATTCATCACCATCTCAGAGATGAGGGGACTTTAAAAGAAGCTTGACACTGCATAACAATTTTATTAATCTTTACATGGCAGGCTCTGTTAAAAAAAAAACTGTTACCATGTTTTGACATTTTCGAGTGGAAGAGATGAAGAATGGGAAGAGCCAATGTTGTTATCAAAGTTCATCTTTTTTGTAACTCTTATTCAGAGTTGAAGCTTTCAATTCAAGAAGATATCTTGTGGCCATGGAAGCATGAAGGGAAGCACCATAAGGTAGTAATTGTTCGTTAACTTCAAAAAACGGCGAGTGAGGGCTCGCCATTGGTGCATGAGCTTTGTTTTGCATTCCTACGAAGCTAAAATGTCCCGGTATTGTTTCTTGGTAGAAAGAGAAATCCTCTGATCCCATCAATGGTTGCATCTCAACATAATTCTCAATTCCTAACATATCGCCTGAAACATTCTTGAAAAATTTGTGTAAGTCTTTGTCATTTACAGTCGGTGGGAAAAAAGGTTTCTCATCTTCAATGAAATCCACTGTCGCATTACACATATGCACGCTCGCTTGCCTTGTGATAACCTGAAACATTGGACTCGCAAAGAAAGTTAAAGCAGGTCGGTCTCTGGAGGAAAACAAAAGTTCTAAAGTACACATCAAAAGGCAATGTTACAACTGACCTGCTCAATTCTTTTCTTGAGTTGCAGAAAGCTTTTAGTTGAAAAGGCTCGGAATGTACCACCAATAGTAACAGAGTCCGGAATCACATTAAAAGCACCACCACCTTCAAATTTAGCAACTGTAACTACCTGTAAACACTCAACACATAAATCAAAGCACTCCACATCCTATATAGAGACATTTGAAGAGCTAAAGATTATATTTATACCTGTGAGTCTAAAGGATCTGCCTCTCGTGACACAAGGTGCTGTAAGCTAACAATAACATTTGAAGCTGCCAATATGGGATCTATGGAGTGCTGCGGAAGAGCTGCGTGACCTCCTTTCCCGCTTATCTTAGCTTTGAAAAACCCGCTACCAGCCAACAATGGACCCTCTCTCGAACTCACTTGACCTAATGCCAATTGATTTGTGACATGTAATCCAAAGATTGCACTTACATTCTCCAATACTCCAGCCTCAACAATTTGTTTTGCACCTCCTCCTCCTTCCTCAGCTGGTTGGAAAACTAAAATCACTGTGCCCTGGTGAAGAAAACGTCCACATAGTTTTTAGAATCCTGAGACCAACGAAGACTCCGCAGATTCAAATTTACAAATGCTATTAGATCAATACAGTACACACTAAACCTGTAGCTCCTCTTCGTGCTCTTTAAGCAGTTTCGCAGCACCGAGGAGCATTGTAGTGTGAGCGTCATGTCCACAAGCGTGCATCTTCCCTGGAACCTTACTCTTGTGCTCCCATTCTACCATTTCCTACACAATCCAACATAATCTGCTCAATATGAATCCAACTAAAATAAAGCAGCACTTCTCATAAGTCCACTAACAATTCAAGAAAATTACAAATCACATAAGAAAACAAAATCCCACAGAGATGTAAACTCAACAAATCTTCAACCATATTACAGAGACATGATAATTCATTACTAATATAAAAAAAAAAAAAAGCCACAAGACAGAGTTCCATAAAAAGATGAGAGAACAAGTCAAATCAATCTTTTTTCTCTCATCCAAATTTTAAAACTTTGAAAATCAAAGACAGACCTGCATAGCAAGAGCATCCATATCAGCCCTTAAAGCAACAAAAGGGGCTTGACCAGTTCCAACATATCCAATAACACCAGTTACAGCAACTGGGTACTTAAAAGCCACACCCATCTTCTCCAATTCTGCTCTAACAAGCTTAGATGTCTCTACTTCCTCGTAACCTAGCTCTGGGTTCTCATGGATCCTCCTTCTGATTCCAACCATCCAATCGAAAAAATCATTCCTTTTAGCAAAAGTAAGAAACTTTGAAGGGATTTGAGATAACCCACTCGAAGAACATGAAATCAGACACGAATTGAGCAAGTACAGGATCAAAACAAAAGAAACCCATTTGGAGAAACTCATGACTTATATCGATCGATTCGATTGGTATATGAATCAATCGAATCGTGTAGAGAGAAAAAGGAAGAGATCGAAGAAGAAGAAGAAGAAGAGAGGTGTGCGTGATGATGAAGCAGGGAAACAGGAAGCAAAAAGTGGTATTTAAATCCCAAGTCGTATAGTAGCAAAAGCCAAAGCCGAAGCCAAACACAACTTTTTAACTGCGTCTCTATTTTTCATAAAATCTTCATTTTATTTATGTTTTTGTGGAAAATATCAAAATCATCTTTGGAAAAACAAAAACATTCGTGTACCTAATTGATTATGATCAATTTGATAACCTTGTTCTTTTTCTTTTTTGAAAAGAGTGATGGGATGTTCTTTGGAATCTATATTAACATTTTTGAAGTACCTTTTGGAAAGTAACCTTTTATTTTGTATTATTTGCAATCATAAAGCCTTGCCATTTCTATAATTTTATTAACTATAAGGTTTAAATTTGTAAAAGATCTACAACTACTTCGATTTTCCTAAAATATCTCCCTAATAAATTGAATATCTCTCAAATAACTTTATATGATCTTATTTGTTTAAAAATTTATATTATTACATATAACATATGTATAATCAAAATATTTTTTCCCGCATATGTTGTAATTTGAATTTTTGAAAACGGACATATATTACTGAATCATAAAGAAAAAAAATGTACAACGTTACACATCGGGTAGAAAATTTTAGACAATGGTTTAAAAAAATTATAAATAAGACTAATATGCTTATAACTATGATTATATTTTATTGAATGGGTTTGAATTTACATAAATTTGATTGAACGGATTTGAGTTTATATAAATATGATTATAAGTAATAAAAAAAATTAGTTACAAAAAATTATCCAACGAGCTTATAAGTAGTAAAATTCACAATCAAAATACAGTTACACAATTTTAAACACTAAAGAAAATTAAAAAATATAATTTGAATATAAATATTTTAGTCAAAAAAATTGTCCCGCGGTGTACCGTGGGTTAAAACCTAGTTCTAACTTAAAATGTAAATAAGCCAAACAAGCCACTACAATTTTCATACATGTGCATCTTGTTGGAGTTTCTACATTTGGAATTTGTGTAATTATAACGTCAAAGAAATTACTATTCCACTGTTTTAAGCAAGTAGCCAAATTATGAATCGTTAACTTTATCAGTTGTAAACATTATTATAGGGTTCTATTGCATAAATACTTCTAAATCGTCATTTACAAAAAAAAAATTAATTTTTCGAAGAGACTAATAAGTAATGTAATATTATATGTATTAAAAAAATTATGTTCATATACATTAATATTTTAAAATTCTGAAAAATAAATTTAAACTTCCTTCCTTTTTATAGAGACTTTTATTTGATATACTGTTTATAATTTTTTTTTATAAATATGGTGATAATACTAGAATGTTATATTACATATTATTTTTTATTTCACGTTGAATTTTTGTAAAAGATGTAAGATAAAATTTTAGACAACAGTTTAGAGAGTTATTTTGTATAACCCCAATTTTTATAACATAGAACAAAAAATAAATTTTAAAAAAAGTTTGAGTCTTTGATAAAGTGCATTTCACTATCATGTACTGAGAGGATGATTTCGTTTTTATTTTAGGTTCTTTTTTTGTGACACGTGAAAAGGAAAAAAATAGATAAAATTGAATGGTTCTAATTGAATTGTTGGACGGTCCATTTCGCTGTTGTTATGAACAGCTAATGAAACACATGGAGAACGTGTTTAATGAATTTTATTTTACATTTTTCTTTTTCTTTTTTTTAGGATATTACATGATATTATTATTCACTATTCAGTATGATGACATTGACATGATATGTAACGATATCAGTGTGATGGTATCTGATGACATGAGGTTCTATTGGTTATAGCCGTAAGTTTAGATTTTTGTCTATAAATTTAAAGCTATTGATTTTTTTCTATGGTTTTAGATTTTGTTGTTGTATAGTGGTTATGTATTTTTGAAAAAAAAAAGTTGGAAAGCTTAAAAATATGTATTTTTGAAAAAAATGGTTATGTATAACTAAAAAAAATAATTAAGAAAATATTTTAGCAGTGATTAAAAAATAACTACATAATTTGTAAAGTTTGATCGCTTTGGATTTGTAGGTGTGGACCAAAATATGATCGTGAAAGATTTTAAACCAGCAACCAATCAAAGCATGAAGCTGTGGAAAGACTTTACTATAAGACAATCATTAATAATGGTATCTTAGAAGCAAAATTTACACTAGAGAGTATCTTCAATAAGAAGATGTATCCAATATATTAAAGTTACATAAACAAATAAACCAATGTATAATACACACACAAAAAAGTACGATAATGTGTTGTTTAGTATCTCTTAGAATATGTCTTTTTCTCTTAAAAACTTGATTTAGTATTGCTTCAAATCGTACTCAAAACCGTTGTAAAAATAAGATAAAATCCACAGTGTACCACATAATAATTTTTTTTTACGTAATTGAATCAATTTAATTTAGTATATTTAATACTTTAATATAAAAAATTGGGTTTTTATTTTTGTATTTCAACTTTAAAATTAAGACATAGTTTTTGGGAAGTTCCGATCATAAAATATTTGTCATGCACGCCCAGCACCGTTCCCGTACCGTTCAAAGTTTTAAAGGAGACAAATATAAATGAGTATTTGTTATAACGAATATGCATGTTTGTTGGGTACAAATTAAAAATATAGGCCAAAATATACTCTAACATATGTGTCTTTGCTTCCACCAGCAATCGATTACTAAGAGCTAAACAAGTTTACACTTTTCTAAACAACGACTCTCGTTGGGTTAAGCTATAGTTCCATTCTTTATTCTTTGGTGTTTGTATTTTCTAGAAGCCATTTGAGAGGAGTTGAAATTGTGAAACACGTCCAAACTTGGGCTGAGTAACAGCAAGAATTAAGGAGATGATATTATGATAACAATGCAACTAGCTACTCAAAAACAACATATAAAAGGTTCTAAATTAAGCAATCACACGCTAAATCATCAATATAGCTTTCGTTTTAATATCTCTTAAAATAATGCTCAAAATGTTGTAAGATCAATAAGTCACAATAACAGAATCCAAAAGGAAAGAGGAAGGAGTGTCACATCTGCCCGAAGTTAACACAATCTCAGACCATTCAACAAAGCCCCAAAGCTCTCCTTCTCGTCTCTCAAACGAAATCTCAGCACACCAAATATCAGTCTTACATTCCTTAAACTTACTACAAAGGCGTCTTTGACCGCAAGACACCATCACCGTCTTCCACCAAACTGTCACCCTTCTTCTTTCTCCTTGGGAATTTTCGGACGAATATGTAAGATATATAATTTCAGGCAGTTCGTCAAGTCCCTTAACATTAGTCCACCCCAAATTTTTCTCTGGATCATACCAAAGTAACTTCCCTATCGAGACCCTCGTCTGGTACAATATGTTGTCATCAATCTTTACCAAGAGACGACCCGTCCTGAAGCTAACCTTGTAGCCATTATTAATGGTATAAACATTGCCATCCATTACTAACTTACCAGGAACCACACTCATTTGACTGGTGAGATCTTGTGTAGTGGGAAATACCGGCTCCCAAGTATGAGTCTTTGGGTCATAAACCTCTCCCCAGTCTTCGATATTACTAGACTCGTTGCCTCCAATCACATATACCTTACCGTTAATTACATCAACGGCTGGATCTTCTCTAGCTACACGCATCTTGGGGAGTCTAGACCCTTTATGTGTTAGACAATCGAAAGTCAGCAGTTCGTATAGGTATCTAATTTCCTTTCCATTCACGAAGCTACCGATCTTGTAAATATCAGAACCAGTCCCGAGAAGGGTTGAGTATTTGGGATAAAGATACGGAAACGAAGTGATGGGTTCCAATTTCTTTGGTTTGGGAACTGGTGCAAGTGTGAACCATCTATAACTATATTTGTTGTACCTATACAGGCGTAAACAGACACATAGGTAAGTCTCAGTTATTCCCATGCGGGATCGTGTTGCCTGGAGTTCAGGGGAAGCTATGAGAGATCGGAAATACTTGGAGACCATGGATAGATATGGATGATGGTATCTCGACACACGAGCCAAACAGCTGAGAGCGAGGTCGTAAGGCAACGAACAGAACGACGGAGGTGGTGATAATAACTCTGGTGGTGGTTTCTTCTTGGTCATCCTTTTCTTCCTCATTTTCTTCTTCTTCTTCTTCTGGGAGCTTTTCCATTTGGGGTTCTGTTTTTTCCTCATTGTCCTTTGACTCTAGCTACGGAGCTAGCTTTTCAGATTTTAGGGTTTTTATGTTTTTGTAATCTTTTTATTTACTAAATGGTACGTGCTTTCACCTTTGTTGTTTAATTTTAATTAATTAACGAAAGTTTTAAGTATTGAGTCTATTGACCATTTTACATAAATCTTTTCTTTTAGATCATAACTAACCGAACGGTTCATTAGGTCATGCATGGACTTGGTGGACTTATGAGATTGTGTTGTATATAATCACCAAAATTCAAAAACAAGTGACCAAAATGATTTCGTTTTTATCTCTTAAAAATTAAAATCATAATCAAAATGTTACAAAATAATTAGTCCCACAAAATTCGAAATTCCCCCTCAAAAGCTAAGATAAAACACCCATTGATCAACAAGTCACAATAACAGAATTCAAAAGAGAATCCTTATTATTATCACAGTCCCATCTGTCTAAGGTTAACATAATCTTAGACCATTGAACATATCCCCAGAGGTCTCTTAAACCGTCTCGCCTCTCAAATGTAATCTCTGCGCACCAAATTTCAGTTTTACATTTCGGACAGCTCCAGCCAGGATTACAAAGGAGACGTTCACCGCAAGCAATCCTCGTCTCCCACCAAACTGTCACTCTTCTTTCTCCCACCGAACTTGCCAGCGAGATAAGGTGTTGTCGGTAGTACTGCCTCCCAAGTTTGTGTCTTTGGGTCATAGACCTCTCCACAATCTTCAATACTATTGAAAATGGAGCCTCCAATCACATAGATCTTACCGTCAATCATATCAACGGCTGGGGTTCTTCAGGCCCATTAGCCCTTTTCTTAAACTAAACCCAACACAATTGGGCTTTAATTAACTTCAGGCCCATTGGCCCTTTTCTTCCTCCTTGCTCTTTGTCTTCTTCCTCTTTGTTACTTCTTCTTCTTCGTTTACTTCCTTCTGCAACTTCTTCTACTAACTCTTATTTCTCATACTTGATTCTCTTGTGCATGATTGATCAAAGATGAGATTCAAACAGCAAGGTAGATTTGATTGTCTTAACAATTAACTAATTAACTAGTATACGAGGTTAATTATTATTTGAAAAATACCATCAAAATTATACTATAGGACTGGCATGGAGGGTAAACGGCATTTCAATCACACAGTAAATCATAAACATAGCTTTCGATCGTTTAATATCTCTTAACATAATTAATGCTCAAAATGTTACAAAATAACCCAAAAAATTCTAAAAGAAAATCCTCTCAAAAATAAACAATCAGGATCCCATTGGATCAATAGGTCACAATAGCAGAATCCAAAAGGAAACTTGAAGGAGTGCCACATCTGTCCAAGGTTAACACAATCTTAGACCATCCAACAAACCCCCAAAGCTCTCCTGGATCAGCTCCTCGTCTCTCAAACGAAATCTCTGCACACCAAATCTCCGTATTACATTCCTTACTACAAGAACGACTTCGAACACAAGCCACCACCTCCTTCTTCCACCAAACTGCCACTCTTGTTCTTCTTCTTTCTCCTTCGGAATTCGCCAGCGAAGTAAGGTGAGTAAGTTCCGGCAGTGCTTCAAGTCCCTTAACCCTACTCCACCGCAAAACTAACTTCCCTTTGCAAATCTGTGCTTGGTACAACATGTTGTCTATCTCTACCAAGCACACATCCGTAACCAAGCTAAGCTTGTAGACATCTTCCATACAATAAACTTTACCACCCATTACCATTCTACCATGAACCATGCGCATTGGAATAGAGAGTTCTTGAGCGAAAGGGGATACTGCCTCCCAAGTTTGTGTCATTGGGTCATAAACCTCTCCCCAATCCGCGGTTCTCTTGGACACAGAGCCTCCAACCACATAGATCTTACCGTTAATTACATCAACGGCTGGAGTTACCCGACGAACACGCATAGTTGGGAGTCTACGAAGTTGATTAGGATATCGACAATCCAAAACCAACGGGGCTTTTTGATACTTTCGTGTCTTCCCATCAACAACGTAGCCTCCGATTAAGTAAAGCTCTGAACCAACTGAGAGAACAGAACATGATATGGGATACAGAAAATGACACCAAGTGATGGGTTTCAATACCTCTTGTTTGGGACTTGGTGCAAGTTTGAACCAGCTACAAGTGCCTTTGTTATAGCCCAGGTCTAAGCAGACACAGAGGTTGTTCTCTGTTGTTCCCATGCAGGTTCGCGTGGCCTTGAGCTCAGGGGAAACCATGAGAGATCGGAGATCCTTGGAGACCACAGATACAGTTGGACGATAGAGTTTCGAGACACGAGCCAAACAATTGAGAAGGATGTCGTTTGGTAACGAAGAGAACGTCGTCGGAGGTGGCGGAGGAGGTTTCGACAATTGTTCCGTCCTCGTTTTCTTCTTCTGGGACATTTCTGATTTACGGTTTTTTCTTTTCCTCATTTTCTCTTCTGATTCTAGATTTTTTGAGATAGGGTTGTATATGATTACTAGGAAAATATCCCGCGCTATAGCGCGATCAACTGTAGCCACATAAATTTTTTGAGATAGAGTTGTATATGATTACTAGGAAAATATCCCGCGCTATAGCGCGATTAGCCACATAAATTTTTTGAGATAGAGTTGTATATGATTATTAGGAAAATATCTCGCGGTATAGCGCGATCAACTGTAACCACATAAATTTTTTGAGATAGGGTTGTATATGATTACTAGGAAAATATCCCGCGGTATAGCGCGATCAACTGTAACCACATAAATTTTTTGAGATAGGGTTGTATATGATTAATAGGAAATTATCCCGCGCTATAGCGCGGTTAACTGTAGCCACATAATTTTTTTAAGATAGGGTTGTATAATTAAACGTAAACCTTCTATTAGGTCTCTTGTAGTCTTTTGGTAAAACCTCTTTTAGAACTTTCACTTCATAAAATTGATCACTCCCATCAACATCTGAATGATTGCCATATATGCTTTAGAGAAGCTTCAAGATTGGTACAATATGTCATCAAGCTATCATGGTCACTTGTCGTTTGCAGTTTCTTCAAATAAAACAAAAATCCAAATGTTTTGTTCATACTTCTGAAATTGTTCAAATCCCTCCTCAAGAGAACATAGAGCTTGATCCTTGACTTTGATGAAGTAAAACATTCTAGAAACAACACACTAGAGATTCTATAACAAAAAAAACCCCACAGAAAATCACTAATATAATTTCGTTTATAATGTCTCAGAATCATACTCAAAATGTTGTAAAGTAACCATGCATCCTCACAAATTCTAAAACCCTCTAGAATAAAGAGTCGCATGGATCAATCACTAAGTGACAACGGCGGAATGCAAATGACTAAAGCGATCTTTAGCGTCCAAGGTAATCACAATCTTAGACCTTTCCACAAATCCCCAAAGCATTCCCGAAGAGCGTCTCTTAAACAAAATCTCTGCGCACCAAAGATTCGTTGAAAGACACAATTAATGGACTATCTCGAGAGCAGCACGCTACGTCGCTACAAACCCCATACACTAATCTATCCTAAATGATTCTCAACGTAAAAGAACCATACAGATACCAACAAATTTGTATTGGAAAAACATAAACCTCATGCTTGCACATTTTGTTGCAAATTTATCAGGTCAGATATTTGCTAACTCTATAAATTTATGTAATACTAAACCGAAAAGTCTGAACGCCGTCACTAGACACTTTTATTAAAAGAGTTTGCCAATTGTGAGGTGGTTCAAAGATTTGGTGACCTTTCTGAAACAGAATTACAAATACAGAGCAAGAAAAGAAAAGACTATCTTCTTTCTTGACAAGAGAGAATCTAAAGAGTACAAAACAAAACAAAAACCAAACAATTCGAGTCATCTCAATGAAACAAGCAATTCTTTCTAAGCAGCAATCTCATCCCTTCCACCTAATCTGAAATCCCGTTTTACAAACTTAACCACTAACTCTAACTACTGATGTATTTACATTTGCTCACTTGCAGCTTCTCTGTCTCTCCACGGCTAAAAAAAGTCTCCTCTTTAAACCCCAAAACGGCAAAACTCATCAAGCTACTCCTAAAGCAAGTTTATGCATCAAAACCCAGGCAGATTCAATGATGGGAAGGCAAAAGAAGCCAGCCGAAAGACTCTCTTCTCTCTTTCACGTTTTGGCAGCAGATGGCAATGCTCGGTGTTGCGTTTGTCTTGCTGAGCCTTTCAGCACTTCGTTTATCCTACTGAAAACTACTTTCAACGGTATACAAGCTACAACCGTTTGCTTTGCTTTTCCAGTTGTGTGCTTCTTGCTTCTTTCCGTCAACCTCTGGCTCGTTAGAGAAGAGAGCCGCCTTGTCTTTATCGATAAGGAAGACGATTTCTTCTTTGGCTTCCAACAAGCACCACGTGACTTCCTCTTCTTGCCATTCTTTTTGGGCAACGACTTTGTCTTCACAACGACTTGAGACATGACCACACCGTTGCAGTAGTCTTCTTCCAAGATTTCAACAGTTAAAGGATGCCCAACAATAGCTTTACCATTCAATTCACTCATACGAGATACCAGGGGAACATTACGGGGTTTGCTGTAGTTTGATTTTACCTCAATCTTCACCTCGTACAGCCCAGAATGAGGCATAGAACTGTTGTTATTAGCTTCTTCTCCGTACACAGTTCTTCTCAATTCTTGTTTCTTACTCATCTGCCTCGAGTTCCTCTTTCCTTTTAGCTGCCACTTAGAAGTACTCTTCTCAACCCCGTTCAAATTAGAGTTGACAGGTTCTGAAACTGGTGGACTTGTAGAAGCATATCCATTACTTCCCTCATTCTTAACAAAAACATCCTGACTAGTCCGACCACGCCTCTTTGCTAAATCAGTAACAAGAGCTCTCCTTGGTGAGGAGATTCTACAAGCTGCTGGAAAACCTAAATAACAATGGATTTCATGTCAGAATAAACGACACTGTTCACAAACAAAAAGAGAGGCAAATGAAAAATGCAAACACTAATTAGATCTAAGAGAGAAAACCTTTAAATCCTAAGAAGGTGGAGAAACACACAATAATAGCAGATAATGAACGCAGAAGCAATTGAGTCATAAAACAAGTCACGGCCAAAAATATAGAGAAATCGTATCAACTATAAAACGAGACAAACATTACGAAACACCAAAGATGCTTAGTTTTCACCAGACTATATCTCCAGAAAATGGTCATATAACTCTTTACTCTATCATGTAACAAAATTAACTTGATGACAAAAGCAAGCTTTTCTTTATGTATTACAGAGGAGGAGATATGCAGATGCTTTGCAGTTAGAGGAACCAAAACATGTACAAACATAAAAAACACTTAAGTGAGGTTTAGCCAGTTATACCTTCAGAGTGTTTTTCATCCCCAATCAATGGAACATCAAATAATCTGTCAGAAGAATCATCCTCAGCCGAAACTGAAATGCTAGAAATCTCACTGTCTTTTGCCTTGTAGTTATGAGAGGCTCCAACAACATTCTCATAAGCATCCTCGCATGATATTCCTGTGCTATCTGAGTTATTGTTGATTACAACAGATACACTTTTCATTGATTCAACAGACTCCATTCCTGATACTTTGGTATCATAAATGACAAGCTGGTCACAGGTAACAGGGACAGAGACCATAGCTGTACTCTCTAACACCTTTGTCAATTGCCGGCGCCGATTTTTCCTTTTAGAGCACTCATGAGCATTTAGGACTTGTGCCCTTTTTCTTTTTAGTGATGACGGGGAGCATACCTTGTTCCCATTAGCTATGATATTCCCATTCGATACTGAATCACTGAGGCATACAGCGCTGGTCAAACCCATTTCTTGCCTATGCTCGATTATAGCACCAGTCTGTTCTTTCCCAATATCCTCAAGCCCTCTCATTCGCTTGACACCTTCAGTCCCATCATCTTCCGAGTCATTTGGTGTTCTTCTTCTCCTCGGCTGCACCTTTGAAACTCCAACATCATTCATTTCTTGGGAAGACATACTGGATTGCAACTGTTTTGGCGCTGAATCCAATTCATCTTCAGCCTCTCCTGCATCAGAGGTGCCTGAATCCTCATCCCCTTTGCCAGAAAGACACCTTTTAGAGTCTTCCTCACCAGAGGAAGTACACAAATTATCGTCTGGATGATCTTCTTTTGCAAGATGTTCGTTCTCAATCTCGAGAGCATTCTTAATGGCGTCTTCTCGGCGAGTACACTTGGCAGCCTTTTTATTACTAGAGCTTGCTGCTGCTGCAGCAGCCTTTGCCTTCTCAATGCAAGAATCATACTCTCCACAACGAAACGCCTTCACAGTCTTGGAATTTTCAAGAATATACCAATCCCTGAAGTCATAAAGAAAAACACTTTTAACCAGAATTCCCACTGAGTTTACATACTGAAAAGGCATAAAGGCAAGGCTAAGGGTAAAAAGAATGAGATAGTTGAAAAGAGAAGAGTACACTTACACGCTAACATCGTCACGACCTAGAAGCTTTATTGGAGTGCCGACTTTTGGAGAAACCAAAGAGTTATCAGGAATTTCGTCAAGAACCAAGGTCTGTCCGGGCCACCAAGAACCATTACGGCGGCGAACCCATACCAATCTTCCAACCGACGCATTAATCGCCTCCAAGTTCTGGTCATCATTACTCTCCATTACACACTAACACCCAAAACTCTCAACCCCTCTGAAGGACAACACAGAACACTACCAGGAAAAAAGAGGGAGAGACACACACACACACGAAGTCACCAAGCACCAGAAAAAATATATTTCGAACTGACCTAAAAATCAAAACTTTAAATTTTTGAAAATCTCAATGAAGTGAGTCAAGTGACTCTCTTTCACTAGACATAAGTATGCCCCTTCTTGAATCCTGCAAGGCTGCAACCAAGAAAAATTAGTGGCAGAAAAACTTAAAGACACAACATGCAACCAAGAACTCGCAAGTTGAAAAGAATTAGCTAAGCTGGTTGAAAAGAGTCTTCGGAAAGAGAAAGAGAGATCTGAGAAGAAGCAGAGATCCAGATACCTCTTTATGTTTCTCCGCGGCGTTAGAATGTTTCTCTCTGTCTATGAATCAATATAGCATTAGGACCGCATTTTCTCTTTGGGCTGGGAGAAAAGGGTTTCTGCTCCGGCGGTTTAATGAATGGGAGGACAGGGAGAAGAGAAGAAAGGAGAGGAGAGAGAAAGGGCTTGTTTTGTTTTGGATGGAGGGAGAGAGAGAGAGACTGAGAGAGAAGAAGAGGTCAAAAAGCACATCCAAGGCGAGAGACTCTAAAGTACAGTGACACACGACATCGTTTTGGGGACTTTTGTCCACTCCTTTAGGTTATCTCTCGTTAGGTCGCTCCTTTGGCCACGAGGCAACTGTGAGTTCTATATTCAGACATCTGATCTCAAAGGTGTCAAACTTGGTAATAAATGAGTGAGTTCGATCGAAGTCCCTTCCAAAGTCTCATAAATTTTGTTTTAACATTAAAGCCCCTTTCCAAATTTTCATCATTTATTTAATAATCAAAATCTACACAAACTGTGTGAGGTTGTTTGTTGGAACATGGTCTCTTAACTGTACCAATCCAAGAACAAGACGGAGAAAGTAAGGACGAAGAAAAACAGCAACAGAAAAGTTCTGCTGCTGCTGTTACGTTGGATTGCTTGAGAAAGCTCTTTGTTTCCAAGCTCCACGTTCTTTGTTGCCTCAACCGCCTGCATTTCAGTATCAAGCTGAGTGAGAAAACGGACTGCAAGGCACACACATATACAAAACACACAGAGAGAAACACCAAATCGTGGAATTGATTTAATAACTCTGAAGTCAGTTATAGGCTGTACTTGTACAAAGTAAGAAAAACCACACAAACAGATACTAAAGTACTGGGAATGGTATTGAGTCATTTAAACATTCAAATGGGGTTTTAGAAACTTTACATAGCTGGAACAATATTATCTCCATTTCCTACCATTAAATTGAAGAGCAATTCAAATTGGACTAATACAAAGTTTATTTCCTGTCTCTATACCTACTACTCTAGGTGAATTTGATAGCATCCGAATTCAAATTTAAGCTACCAAAGAGAGGCATTATGTGTAAAGAACAGGGGAAGCCTAACAAAACAATGCGTCGACATGAGAGCTTGAGAGAAGTTAATTAGTCCTAACCTGATCATAAAGAACCTCTATCTGTTGGGCTTGTTGCAGAACATGAGTTGCCATCAAGTGGTTTAACGCAGACATCTCCACCATCTTAGTCTCTGTCTGCCTAGCACCATCTAAAAGATTACTTAGCTCTACCTGCAAAAGTTTCAAATTTCAAAATTTAGCATATCTACAAAACTCATGCACGTTTTCAAAAACCATGTAGTATTGCCTTATTACCTGAAGGGCTTGTGTTTCATCGTCTAGGAGTTGTTGTTGTTGTACTCTACGAGGTTGGGCCTGAACTTCTTCCGGTTCTATGGACTCCGAATTTGCCAAAGTTGTGTTAATTGGATTAGCTTCCTTTACAATCCTCTTAGGTCTTCTTCTTGGCATAGCTCTGTTAATGATATCTTGGAAGCGAGTAGCTCTAAGCTGATCAAACTGGGCCGTGACTGAATGAAGTTTCTCACTCAAAATCAAAACCTGCAAACAAAAAAATAACCATTACTTCTACACATCTAGATACTTTGGATGAAAAGAATAAAATAACAAAGTTAGCTTACTACATTGGAGCAAATCATACCACTCCATGTTTGTGTGCTATAGTATCAGCATTTAAGTTATCTGCGGGGAGGCCAAGCCATCCTTTGGAGTTTGCTTCTTCATTTCTAATACTGTTTTTGAGAATATCGATCCGCTCTTTGCAAGCTTTAATTAAAGCAGTAAACTGCAAGAGAGAGAGTTCGCTGATATTACACAACACATAAGCAGACATAGTTCTCCATCAAACAGCACATGAGATATAAGAATGTTAGATCCAAGTTCCTCAGTGTAAGACTATAGTAAAATCATTGGTATATAATAAACATTAATCTTCCTGAGTTTTTTCTCAATGTGAAATGCTACATGAAGTACGATTTCAGTAGTTTCATTTGTTAAATCTTAACCAAAGATTTATAGCAGCAACTCCATGTAATCAGATTATATAATGCGGGAAAGCCTTGCTTAGATTTCTTACTTCTTGTTCAATGCTATCCTTTTCCTGTTCTGTAGTCCGGTGCATATCAACATAATCCTTCCGGTGCTTCAACATAAACTGATCCAACTCCTTGATGATTTCCAGCTAAATCAACCAACATCAACAAGTTAGTAGCAACACGACAAACAAATCACTCGATAATGCAACATGCAAATCACTAAAGTTACCGTTTTGAAAGCAGCTCTTGTGAACGGTGATCTCTCCTTTGGCTTATGTATGATAAAAGACGCCATTGTTGACGCCACCTTAGACTACCAGGCAAAGACAAACGAATCAGATCAATGTCAACAAACACAATCTAGAAGACAACAACAACTCAAAACCCTGAAAACCCTAGAGAATGATCAAAATTGAGATGCAACTAAAAAATCCTATTTGTTTAACAAATTGTTTTAATCTAACGAGATTTAAGATGAAAAGAGACTTGCGCACCTCATTATAACCATTTGAAACAGCAGCTTTACGAACAGAATCCTTGAAATCCTCTGTCCTGTCTCTGAATCTCGACATCTTGTACACAAAATTCAAATCGTGAACAATGCTTCTCTCCTTATCAATCAATCAGTCAATAGCTCTAGAATTACAGTCGCTTTAGAATCAAAGATGGATTTTTTCTCCGGCGATTCGAAGACGAAACGCAAACGAAATAGAAGACGAGGGTCACAGAGAAGATCGGAGAAGAGAGAGAAAAAAGGCTTTCCTATTTTTTTTCTTTCACAATAAAAAAACAAAGAGAGATACAGAACAGAATAGAGAGTTAAACGACAGCGTTTCGGGATCTTAAAGTTCTCTCCTTTAGGTTTATCTCTCCTTAACGTCGCTCTTGGTCACGAGGCGACTCACTGTGGAGTTCGATATTCAGACAATCTCAAAGCTTTTACAACAAAGGTGTCAAATTTGGTCACCATGACGGGTGAGTTCGATCAATTCCCTTCTTACAGTTTCTTAATTTCTTCGTTTACCATCGAATCAAAGCTTACCACTGGAGAGCTATGTATCCGTGAATCCATGGGATAGCAAATGAATTCCGATTGATCTTGATTTCTGATAAGTTCGATTTGAGATTTATTGGGTGTTGTGTCTCTTGTAGAGTATAAGCAGGAACAGGATATGGAGATTGAAGCTCTAGAAGCTATACTAATGGATGAGTTTAAAGGTGAGAGATTTGTTTTTTTAGTTTCCTTGTATGTTCATCATTGAGGTGATGAGAGCATTGAATTCTTAATGACTGTACTGTAACAGAAATTCATTCTAGTGAAAGTGGGCTTAATACTTCAAATCGATGCTTTCAGATTACAGTGACTCCTCAGGTAGAGAACACCATTTTCATCTTTTTTCTTCTTCAGTTCCTTAATTACTTGTTTGTTTTCTGCAACTTCATTCTTTGGGGTAGATGATCCTATGATCCTGTTAGCTCTTTTGGCTGTTTACCAAGAAGCTGTATGTGATTTGTGAATAGCTCATGTGTTATTAGTGTAGCAAATGTCAACTGAAATTTCTTCTGATTTAGCAATTTGCTATCTCCTGATCCTCTGCTTCTTCTTTGGTTTTCAAAGGATGATGATCTGGAGGAGTCAGCTATCCCACCAGGTTACTACTCTTTAAGAAATTCCCTTGTTGTATCATATGCCTCTCCTGTACTTTCTCAGTCTTATAGCTCCCAATTTGTCTTGCAGTTCAGTTGGCTTTGGTTTTCTCGCACACGGAAAATTACCCCGACGAGTCTCCGCTTTTGGATGTTAAGAGGTAATTCTTTGTTCAACCATTTTTATTAAGCTAAAACAGATATACAATGATGACACTCATGTGGTAGAGTATTCTTCTAGTATTCGAGGAATCCATGTTAGTGACCTCACCATCTTGAAAGAGAAGCTTGAGCAGGAGGTAAAATATCCTTACAACTTTATGGCTTGTTATAATTTTATACAGAGAGTGTAAGACTGGAAGGTCTCTAGTTAAATCAGACTTTCTGAATCGTTGACTGGTTATTCTGTGGAACTAAATGGATCATGATGTTGTTTCTACTCTGTACTGCATGACTCAACACAATGCTATTTTTCACAGGCATCTGAAAATCTTGGTATGGCCATGATTTATACACTCGTCTCATCAGCAAAGGACTGGTTATCTGAACACTATGGGCAAGATGATGCAGCTGACTTCGCCGAAGAGGAAGCTGCCAAAGAGGATGAGGTATTGTTGTCTGCTCAGTATTTCAAATGTACAGCTGAAAATAACCACTTTGTGCTTCCATGATAAATGTGTCTACCTTCTTTTATTTTGTTCCCTTCCTGTCTAAATTTCTTTTTGAAGGTAATTGTCCCTCATGGAGAACCTGTTACTCTTGAGACATTTTTGGCATGGAGAGAGAGATATGAGGCAGAGCTTGCACTTGAGCGAGCCAAGTGAGTAAACTTTTCCTGGATAGTCTTTTCTTTTGCTCTTATGTACCAATAAACGGGCTTTTTCATTACCTGCTTGAGTTATTAATTTTTCTCACTGGCCGTGAATAAACTTCCAAGGCTGATGCCGGATTCTGCTCTTACGGTTACTAAGGAGAAGAAGCTTACAGGAAGACAGTGGTTCGAAACTGGCAGAGCGGTATTTCTTATTCCTGTTTTATGATCCGAGTCTTGTTAGATTTTCATATCTCCACAAATACTATTGTTACTAACTCTGTCTTCTTCAGAGAGGAACGGTGGTCACTGCTGATCAAGAGTCTGAGGAGGACGATGAAGAAGACATCGACTTCGAAGACGAAGACTTTGAAGGTGAAATGGTCTTTCTTTTTGGTTTACACAAGATTACCCCTTAAGCAAGCAATGTTTCTCAAGAACCGCTTTGGTTTCTATGATACAGATGATGAAGAAGACATGCTTGAGCACTACTTGGCAGAGAAATCTGATACTTCCGTTCCCCCATCAAGGACATGAAGCTAAGAAAGAGCATTACATCTTGATTACTGAAGCTCTTTTCTGGATGGAGTTCATGATGCAAGACACTGAGAAGCATTCAATCTCCATATCCTCAGTTTTCCGAGTTTTGATCCACTCAAGAGTATTCTGAGAATTACCATTTGTCTTAAATCTAAAATTTGCCATCACTGTCTGTTCATTTATAGAACATTTATGAGAGAATGCCACTGATTTTGTAGTTTTTTTTTTTATTGTTTTACTTAGAATCAGCTCAAAGCATATCTCTGTCAAAAGACGAATAGTTAAAAGTTGGAAACCGTTGTTAAAGCTATCAATATCTTCCATCTTTGAAAGTCAAATAACTTACGTGAACGAACTATGGCTGATAAAATGGAAAATAATATTCCTATCGGAGTATATATTTCTAAATAATGATATAGATTGGATCTAATATGTTACAGAGAGTCCAATGTTACTTCATCAGGTTTTTAAGACAGAACTCCTGCCGATGCAGGGACTTTTTTTTAGCTAGACACAACCTTGGTCCGTCATGGCTTGAGCTATGTTCAAAAATGCTGCAATTGTAGCTCCATGTAGAAGTGCCCTGTCATTAAAAACGCAAGATGAAAAACCAATAAGGATTTCAATCGTTTGGATTCACAATTGTTAAGAGCAGCTTAGACCAAACATAGTACAGTGACTGTTGGCTTATGATTTATGAAGAGGAGAAGAACTTACTCAGGGCTTTCTTTCTGATAACCAAAATCATTTGCTGCTTTAAGAGCTTTTTCATAAGTCTGCTTTAGTGCTTCCTGTCAACATCAGAGCACAATTACCTTCATAGGAAGTTATCAAAGGCCAAAACTACAAAATTTTGAAAGAACTGTGAGAGATGTTGTTACCTGTAATCTAGACTCAAAATCTTCCGCTGACCATTGCATTGAATTAGATTCACGGAGTACTTCAATCTCACCAGCAGCAACCTTCAATAAAATTATACAATTTTACTACAACTTTATAAAAATCTTAGAAGCTTTTCTTTCTGTGCTTTTGGGTTCATATTCCGAATATAAAAAGAATAGAAACTGATAAAGCCCTAGCACTCTCAGCAAAACCACACTCCTACACAGTATGTTATGACAGCAGCAATTCCTCTCCTATATGCCTTTGTGTTGTAATTCAATGATGGGAGAGATTAACAAAGAATAGGTTAAAATGTAGTATCGATGTCAACTGAAGAAACTCACTCCTCCAGCTCCAGCAGCAATGGCAGGAGCAATCAGAACATTCGCCTTTCTGAAAACATCGACTGCTTCAGCTGTACATGGCATGTTCGAACCTGCACATAACACTTCCATACTGCTTAGAATAAGGTAACAAAAGAACAGCAAAATAACAAACATAAACACAAAACGAAAAGCCTTAAAATGTTTGCTTGGTATAAGAAATCGTTACCTTCTACCAGCAAGCGGCAGCCTGCATTGACCAGATTAACGGCATCTGCTTGATCAACTTCATTCTGCGAAGCACAAGGAAATGCCACATCACACCTTTCATTCCACGGCTTTACATTTTCAAAGTATTTCGCCCTTGCATACGTTTTAGAGTAGTCTCTGCATAACAGACACATGTACAGTTAGGATCTATGTCATTAGCCAAGTGAAAAATACCATGTTATTCTTTTTTTTTTAACAAAAATACCATGGTCTAGGGCGATAAATACCTCAGACTTCTCTGTTGGGATTTTATATCTCTCAAGAATGCAAGTTTCATATAATCAAATCCTTCATCATCCACCAAATATCCTTTTGAATCTGCAAAAAGTTTTCATCCGCAAAAATCAGTGCCATAAATCAACTACATCAGCTGCTGTCTATGGAATTCAATTGCAGAGCAAAATCATTTTCACAGAATGCTAACTCTTGAGCAGCACAATATGTCACAGACAGCTAACTAATCAAGATCTATTGGCAGTAACTACAGATTCAATTTGAAACTCTAAGTAGTGGCATAGAAGAAGACACCAATACATATAAGCCACGTCTGTCTGTTTATCTGGCAGACCAGGGCTGCAATCGACTCTTAGCTCAACTAAGAGGCACCCTAGAGATGGTTAAAACACCAAATATGCAGAAAAGCTACACATTTGAGTTGCTCAAATCTAGAATGATAAGATGAGTGGATAACCTGAAACTGTAACTGGATGGGCTCCACAAGCAATTAGCTTCTCTACGACATGCATCGCAATCTTACCGCAACCACTCACGACACATCTAAAATAAAGAGTATACGATTTCATAAGATAAGAGTCATAAAATTATACACGAGTCACACAACTAGTTTTGTACGACCTTTAAAACCAACAGCATAATGAGCAAGGCCTTAAAAAGTGTCGGAAGTGGAAAAAGAAAGTAAATGGTACCTTGCTGATTATATAAACTCAGAGATAAAAAAAAAAAATTGACAACTTGGAGATTCAATTTTTACATTGGTAAGAGCACATATTTAAAATGATCAAGAAAGAAACCTTAGTCCCTTTATTTCCTTATTCATATCTGCAAGCATAAGTCGTGCAAAGTACACCTGAAAGAATCCAAATGAGTTTTCGTCCATATAAAGTCATGACATGTTGATAGCATTCTGCATAATTAAAAATAAAATAAACTATCCTTACCACGCCGTAGCCACTAGCTTCAGTTCTGAGGCTAGAAGCAGCCCAGTATATCCTCGGTCCTGTAAAACTTCCCTGCATAAGTAATTGACACAAAGATATAACAGCCAAAACTCTTTATTCTCTCCCAACAGCAAATACTAATGCAAATAAATGAGTACAAGAATAGAATAGCAAAGAAAATTTAGTACTGAAATGTTCCAGAAAATGAGAGGATGAATACAGATTTTAGTAGGGATATTCTCCCTCCAAAATCACAAATATTACAAAGATAAAACGGAAAAACAAAAAACAACTTGATAAGAAATGACTTGTTAGGAATGGAACCAAATAAAAAATTTACTGCCAATTTGTCAACAATAAAAAACAGCGTCCACTGACTTTCAGTACCTGAAACTGACCAGCAAGTCGTCTGTATTGTCCAAATAGATACCCCATTTCCCGAGTACCGACACCGACCTCCTCTGATGGAAGATCCTAGAGTATATAATAGATTAAAAACCATTGCAGAAAAGATATACTTGCTAAAGGGAAAAGCCAATCTACTTACTTTGTCAGGACCCATATATCTGTACATCTCATTCATGAAACTTTGGCAAAATCTCATAATCTGCAGTGTTGCAAAACAACATATCAGAACACCTTTAAAAGATCACTTGCAGGGAAATATGCAAGGAATGAGATGTCACCTCATTGTCACTTTTTCCTTTAGGATCAAAGTCACTTCCACCAGAAGCCCCTCCCAGTTTATATGGTGAAAGAGCGTTTTTCAACGTCTGCAAAGAGTTACAAACAAATTACAGTTCCGAATCACGTAAAAGAAGAGTTAAGGTGGGCCACCTGGGAAAAGAAAAAGGAAAATGGCAAACATAATATAAGGGGAAAATAAGAGAAATCAGAGGCAAGATTATAATTGAAGGATTTCACAGCACCTGCTGAAAGCCAAGAAATTTGGCAATGCTTAAGTTCATGGATGGATGAAAGCGGATACCTCCCCTACATGGACCCAGTGCTTGATTGAACTGAACTCTAAAGCCGCGGTTTACATGTGTTTCACCACGGTCATCAATCCAGGGAACTCGAAAGACTATCATACGTTCAGGTTCTAGTAGCCGCTCCATGATATTGACATAACTGAAGTAAATCAGAATGGAACAGTGTGATTTGGATGCGGTCTCTTGAAAACTATGTTACAAAAGATGAGAAGCAATTTCATAACTTACTGAGAATTTTTTGCAATTACCCGCTCTAGAGCATGCACAGATTCTTGTACAGATTGAACAAATTCGATCTCATTAGGATCTCGTTTCAGAGCACTCTCAACAATTGAACCAGCAGTTTTTGACATAAGAGCTTCATTGAGAGGGAAAAGTGTAAACAGTTAACAAAACAATAAGCAGGGAAAGCTACTAGCCATACCTTACAGAGATACAAAAATCAAATGGAGCAAGACCAAAAACAGAAAACCAAAAACCAAGGAAGTCTCTTCATAAAAAAAAAAAAAAAAAAAAAAAGAAGAAGACGATCTCTCTCCTAATCAGAATAATAGCAAACTCAGCCTTATGAAGAAAGCAAACATACCAAGAATTTACAACTTCACAAGTTTAACAAAAAACTAGAAGTTTCAACTTCCTCTCTTTCACGAAACTAACTGCATCTTAGCATTTGTTAGTAAAGTATATCTAATTACGAATTGCTTCGTTTCATCACTCAAAGCTGTACTGCTTACTAAAACTAGATTTACATATCCATTTATGAAAAGTAGAAAAGAGAATGTTCAAAGATATCACAAATAAATGCAAAGCATATGTTAACACATTGTTAGCTAAAAAGTTGTTCAGTGCAAGTTGGTTAGATGGAGCACAATGAGTTGCAAATGATCTTAACTCACAACATAGAAAAAGAGATCAATCACTTGAACCAATAATGTAAACAACTTACTCTTCACATAAATCGGCTTGTCAACAACAATCTTATCTTTGGAAGCCATTTGGAGACGCAGAGCCTCTTTGTGTAGTAAACTATTGTTGTGTTCTTCTAATGCACTCATCTGCATGTTTCTACTTCCTTCATTTCCATACGGATTTCTTCGATGTTTTCTACCATACTCTCTGCAAATAGAACAGAATATCCTAGCTGTTCCATCCTTCATATCAACATAAGCCCACTTGTACGTGTCAGCCCATTCCTCTCTCCACCGTTTGACAACTTTTTTCTTTCTCTTCACCGGTTGACCCTTTGACATATCCTGATCCTCACTGGGCAGGTCAGATACCAAAACCATATGCTTCGTTTCATCATGTTCCCCAGTAGAGGGCTCCCGTGGAGTCCCGCCAATCAATGAATTGTTAGCAAAAGCAGCGTCATCCTCTCCAGGTCCAATTTCCAAATCAATCTCTTCCCCAAGATTACTTACAACAAGCTGATGCCTTTGTGCCTGCTGGATTAAGTTCATATCATCCATTGAGGGATTCATCCCCAACCCACCTGTTGGCCCAAACATTCAGCATCACAGTTTAAACTCCACCTTAGCTTCTCTTTTGCTGACTAACAGCAATTGTATCCTAACAAA